ACAATGTAATACTCTGTAGAGTTTTATGTTTGACATCGTGAGTATACATATAACGTCACATTGTTTAGTTGCTAAAGACAACGCAACAGTTTCGAGGACTTTTTCATTTATGTCATTTTATGCAAAAAATATTTGTTAAATGGTATTTATTTTAATATCCTGCATTAGAATGGAGATAACTGTGTTGTATTTTACAGTGGCAGATCCAGAACTTTTTGTAAGGGGGGGGGGGGCACTGACTGACTTAAAAAGTAAAAAATCATTATAGTTTGTGATGTTGCGGCAAACTTTCAGCAGAGCTGGTTATTCATTTTAGAGTGGATCATTATTATATATTTGACACTGTTTGTTAAGCATCGTACAATTTATAGCATTTTTTTTAAATATAAAACAATTAATTTATCAATATAATTTGTTGGTGATATCCCTTAATTATTTAATATATATATAAGAAAAACAATGTCCCTCAAATTCATTTGGACTCTAGGTTATTTTCTAATTTATAACTCAAAATTTCCTTTTTTTTTATTCAATTGAGCATTGAAGGGATGTAACTCATGCTAATGCATAATAAATAAATTTGTGTTAATTTTTCTGTTGCAGTAACTTTAAAGATACAGGTTCATTATTAAATTAAAGGTTATCGTTATTATTTTGGGTCGCCCCAAAAAAAAAAGAAATATAAAATCTGCTTAAATTTTAATAAATGACCTTAATGAGCTATTGAAGTCTTATATGAAAATAAAAATGGGTGTTCTTAAGATATGGACAAAACATTTTACCCTTTTTTTCGTCTTAAGCCTTAAATAGTAAAAGATACTTCAGGTGAAAGTTATAATAGAATGTGCTAGTAAAATAGAAGTAATACTCCCTTGAAAGAACATTTTAATGCATTCCATTAATCTTTTTCCAACCACTAGTGGAAATACCTTTATAGTGAATTTCATGAATACATATTAAAAACATTATATCAAACATTTGTGATATTTTGACCCATAAATCATCCATTCATGATGGTCAAATTTTGACCCATAAATCATCCATTCATGATGGTCAAATTTTGACCCATAAATCATCCATTCATGATGGTCAAGTTGATAGCATGATAGCTATATATGATAATAATTTAGTGTAAATGTAGTCTGAAAATTTACAACTTTTAATCAATGTATTTGTTAAAAAAATTGAAACCTATCAATTTCAGGTATATATAATTATATCTGTGTTTTGATTTAAATTACTATTGTAATCATTAGCCAGTCACCTGAGGTTGTGATTTCAATATTCCAGCCCGTTCAGGAGAGCACTTGACTTACATGTAAATTGTATATATATGTATAAATAATTGAATTTTATATATATATATGTGAAGAAAATTAGAGAGGAATAAAAAGAAAAGAAATTATATCAATATTCTACAGCTATAAAGATTAACCTTGAACGCTAGATCTGTTTGGGCATTTAGCCAAGGATTCCTTGTGAATTTTTCCTTCAAGAAGGCGTTGAGTCTCTTCTAAAATAACGAGAAAAAAAATGAATGGTAATTTTTTTCAAAGACAGCATATATACATGTATTTAATAAGCTGAACGATAACAATAATGTATAATAAGTATGACATGTGTCAGTGTGTAGGCTACATGAATGATATAAATTTATAACTGGTTATGCATTCTTCTCTTTTATTTAATTCTTATAATTTCAAGTGTTCAAAGAAATAGAAAAATCTCAAACTTCATTTAAATACATACATTTCCTAGTAATTTGTATTTAAATTGATGGGAAGTTAAAGATTACCAATAATTTACATTGAAGGAACAATCATCCATGGAAAATGCCTTGCTGGTGTTTGCATTGGACTTAAAATGTTCCACATCAGCTTGTATAACCTTTACTATTTTCTCTAAACTTGTTAACTTGGCCACTGTATCAAAGACAAACAGATTTTGAAGATGAATATATTATTAATTTAAACAGATGTACTGCGACTTTCCGAATTTACTCATAAATGAAACTCAACCAACCCCCATTTTTGACAAGCAATTATAGAAGATTCAGATGTTGACACGGTGATTCTACTGGGTCTGAATGCAATTTCCCACTTCATGGCATATATATGACTCCCTGAAACTTGCTGGGATTCAAACTTAGGTTACGGAGAGATAAAATTATTGAAGTAATCATATATATATATAGAATAATACATGGCAAAATCCGTATCGCATGCTGTATCACCACGAGAAGCCAATATCAGTCCCGAGGGCTGATATTGGTCGAGTGGTGATACAGCATGCGATACGGATTTTGTCATGTATTATTCTGTTTATCATATATTTAAATAGAATCAGATTAATGTGATATACGTTTTTTTTTAAATCGTCCGAAAATATAACAAACAAAAGAACATAAGGACTTTTTCGAGCTGATTTAGATTTTGTCGAGCCTGCGACTTTTGTCGCAGAAAGCTCGACATAGGGATAGTGATCCGGCGGCGTTAGCTAACTTTTTAAAAGCTTTATATTTTAGAAGCTAGAAGACCTGGATGCTTCATACTTTGTATATAGATGCCTCATGTTACGAAGTTTCCGTCAGTCACATGTCCAATGTCCTTGACCTCATTTTCATGGTTCAGTGACTACTTGAAAAAAAAGTTCAGATTTTTTGTTACATTTAATTCTCTCTTATTATAAGTAATAGGATAACTAAATTTGGTATGTGCGTACCTTACAAGGTCCTCATCCCCGTCAGACAGTTTTCACTTGACTTCGACCTCATTTCATGGGTCAGTGAACAAGGTTAAGTTTTGGAGGTCAAGTCCATATCTCAGATACTATAAGCAATAGGTCTTGTATATTCTGTGTATGGAAGGACTATAAGGTGTACATGTCCAACTGGCAGGTGTCATCTGACCTTGACCCCATTTTCATGGTTCAGTGGTTATAGTTAAGCTTTTGTGTTTTGGTCTGTTTTTCTTATACTGTATGCAATAGGTCTACTATATTTGGTTTATGGAATGATAGTAAGGTGTACATGTCTAGCTAGCAGGTTTCATCTGACCTTGACCTCATTTTCATGGTTCAGTGGTCAAAGTTAAGTTTTTGAGTTTTGGTCTTTTTTTCTAATACTATACATGCTATATGCAATAGGTCAACTATATTTGGTATATGGAAATATTTTATGATCTATATGTCGGTCGCACAGGTTTTATTTGACCGTGACCTCATTTTCACGGTTCATTGCTCAGTGTTTTTGTGTTGTGGTCTTTTTTTCTTAAACTATAAGCAATAGGTCAACTATATTTGTTGTATGGAAGAATTGTTAGCTGTACATGTCTGCCTGGCATGGTTCATCTGACCTTGACCTCATTTTCATGGTTCATTGGTCAATGTTTAGTTTTTTGGTTAATGTTAAGTTTATGTGACAGTTGTAATAAAGCTTTATATTTAGGACTATCAACATAATATCAATGATTAATAAAGAAGGCGAGACATTTCAGCGTGTGCACTCTTGTTTTTATAGGCTTCCTTATTTGCTTAATATCCACATCGTAATGTCCCATACGACCTTATTACATGCTCAATATAGAGGTATGAAACTGGCAAATAATATACTTTAAGACCATGTATTTAAAAGCATTCACTAACAATAGTGTCAACTGTTCCCTCCTGTAGAATACAACCCACCTTCTCAATATTTGTTGTTAAGTTTAATCATTATACTACAATCTGATCCATGAACTCATTTGTATACATAAATATGGACAACAATGTTACCAAGTATCATCTATTCAGAGATTATTAACAAGACAAACAGGGGATTCCTATATACGCAGTCAGTGGACAAAAGTGAGTTCCCACTAGAAAACTTATTGTATCTATTTTATAAAAATTGCTTTTAAAGTTACTGGGTAATATTTTTTTGAAAAATATCGATTTTAGTTGAAATGATAGGACATTTCTTGAGTGGGAACTCACTTTTTTTCCTATGCCAGGAAATACAGCAACTGGACGTCATAGGTCAAACGTTGACGTCATTTGATTTATGACGTCACGCCAGGTATGTGATACAGATTTGGCTATGCGATACGGGGTATGTGATACAGGTTTAGCTATGCGATATGGGGTATGCGATACAGGGTAGGTGATACAGACTGGAAAAAAGAACCTTTGTTAGATATACAAAATTGCTGTATTTTGTACTAAATATATGATAAATATATATAAAGAGTCTAAATTGAAAACAACGTTCAAACCTATGATTGTGTTGGATAAAAACCGCAATTTTTATACGAACGCAAAAATTTTTGCGGTCGTATATTGGTATGACGTTGAAATCTAAAAACTATATTGAAAAATGTTCTTTAACTTAAACAGAAAAAAAAAAAATTAAAATGTATGTGTAATTAAGGTATCAGACAAGGTATATACTGTGACATTCCCAGCTTGGGGCTTACATGTATATTCCTTTCGCCATTGGCTTAGGGGATATAATATTAAATATATATATGTATAAGTACTCACATATAACAGATGAAATGTGGTTTTCAGGTGCTGGTCTTGATGGGTCCTGTTCAACTTGTTGACCTAAGAATAGGTCATCTTGTGAGTTCACTGTATCATTTTGAGAATCCTATAATACCACAAATTGAAGCTAAAATATTACATATAATTGCATATAAAAAAGCATAAATTGGAAACTATCGGATATATAACAGATAATAAGGTTAATAGTTTGAATTAATTGTATTTTGTATTTGAAAAGCCCTGTCTTTTTTTCACAGCCAAAAGTCTCCCTATATATTGAGTAAACATTCCAAAAATACTTTACTTTTCCAACACACCACAAGAAACCCAACCAACAAGGGTAAAGGTTACATTTTCACTGGAAAAGGTATACATTTTTAAGATCTATATTATATGAAAAGGCAAGGATTTGTATATAAATCACTATTTAATGTGACTATACAAATCCTTGGAAAAGGGTATCATTAAAATCAAATTATGACAAATATTTTTCATTCAAGTGTTGTATTGTTGAATATTTGAATTGGTCCCAAGATAAGATGCTTTTAAAAATAAAACTATCTAGCACTGAAAAATCTTACATCAAACGCGCTCATCTTCTTTTAATCTGCTTGTTGCGTTCCGTCTGAAGTGCTTTGATCGTCTGCAACTGACAGATGTGACGTCACATAACTCGGATTCCTCGCATTCCTCCATTCGGGTATCTCGGACGTTTTTAATCGGTTGCTAGTAAAGATGACGATTTTCTCATGTACCACCTGCAACTTTTTGACAGAACAAAAAAACAAATGGGATCGCCACTGTGCAACAACTAGACATCAAACTTTTACATTTTTATGCTCCCAACTCCCTTGTGATTTCGCGGACGTAGAAAGTGATTATAACGTGGAAGAAGCAGAAGATGAACACCATCGGCATCAGATTGAAGTTGAACCACCACTGGCACAAGACACACCAATGGAAACAGATAGTGACGGTTATCTGGAACTTAATGACGGTTATCTGGAACTTGGTGATGTTGATCAAGAGCATGGTAAGTTTTAAAAGCATTGTCATCTGCAAAATCAATTCCGGTCACATTCCAGAAATGTACATTTAACATGAAATGTAAACAAACCGTGTCGGTTAAAAGCTCAGTAGAGCTTATGTTGTCTCAGACTCTCTGTTTGTTTACTTTGCCGACTCTAAATAGAGGTTATTTGTTATTACGAATATACAAGGTGATGTTGATCAAGAGCATGACAAGTTTTAAAAGCATTGTCAACAAAATTTGCAAAAAAATCAATATCCGGTCACATTCCACAAATGTACTTTTAACATGAAATGTAAACAAACCATATTTATTCACGAATATTAAAGGAGATGAAAAGGTACATTTACAAGATGTGAAAAATAAAACATTTCAATAGCAATGACTTGGAAAATGGTATTAGTTGCATTTCTGCTAAGCACACATCATTAATATAAATGAGTAGGAACAAAGAATTGTCAGTCTGGATTTCCTGATTTTTATTATTACGGATTACTTATAGACACATTTATTGTAAATCGTGATATTTAATTCTGGATAAGTATAACAATGCAATGACTTTTAAAAGTTTAAACTGTTTCATTAGCAGATTTTTCCCAAAGGATTCAATCTGAAGTAGAAAATGAAACAGCAGACAGTACCACATACATGTACAACCAAGAACCAGAACATGAAAATTGGCATCCATTCAGCTCAAAGGCAGAATGTCTTTTGTACATACTGATGAATTCTTCTACCCATCATGTTGTAAGTATGGAGTCCAGTGCTCCATCATGTATATATGTAGCCTAAAATATATGTATTTTAAACTCTGAAAAAAATGTGTATTTTGATAGTTCTGTTTACATTAAATGCTTGCTTATACCAGGAACATATATATTGACGGGACTTGACACTACCTAATTGTAGCCTATTTTATCGTCGGGTTTTAGGTACATGTAATAAAGATACGATACAGAAACGGACATGTGTTAAATACATACTCACTATTATCCTAATAATTTCTGATAATATCAATAAAATGTCATTCAAACTAGTTTTACAGTGATGCCAGTGTATCAAACTTGTATTCTGTCACTTTAAAATTGTTATAATTGCATTCATTTTATCACAGAATGGTACAGAATGCAAACAAGGTAATAAAAAAATGGCGCCGATTGCCTTCCTAAATTCAAAAACATTATAAACATTATAAAACACTTCACATCAAATAAATCACACTTCTTTTGGTCATTTTATATGACAAAATGTATCTACTTTATGACAAAACTTGTATTTATTTACGATTAGAATTATGTGGTTAATTTATAGCATTTTCAAATATGGCTTTTTAAACTATATGTAATAAAATTATGAAAAGAAAAGTAGTGGTTAGCGGGGATATTTTTTTAGTGGCAGTACATGGATAAAACCAGAGGATTCTGAATATCTGACAAAAATTCAAAAACATGAGGATCTTAACATCCTTAACAGCAATAGCTGTTTTATCGCTAAGTTTTACCAAATTTTCCTTTGCACTAATTACTGACTGATAATTTTCATTTTCAGCACAGTGGAAATATATAAAAAGCTAGAGTTTTTTTTACTGCAATGAAATGTAGTGACATACTATGGTTTGGTGGTATAACTGTCTGATAAATTAAATTAATTTATCAGACAGTTATACCACCAAACCATAGTAAAAGGGCAATCACTTCCACAAAGAGTCATAGTCCTAGCTAAACTATATCGTCAAAATTTGACTTGTTAGTAGATCTTGACTTGGTGTTTACAGTTTTTTTCTATCTATAACAATATTCCAGATAATGACAAAAAATAGCAAAATTTCCTTACAACGGGTTGTCTGAATCGTCTGAAAAGGAGGGTCAAAGATATACCAGTGGGACAGTCAAAATCATAGATCCAAAATAAAATAAAATGACATCGCCATTGCTAATAAAATGCTCCGCTGGGCGCAGCTTGATATGATCGCAGAGGTCGAACCCTGAACAGTTGGGGCAAGTATGGACACAACATTCAAGCTTGATACAGCACTGAATTTGGATTGTGATTAAATATTTGACACAGCACAGGTTTCTGACACAGAATGAATGTGGTCTAAGAACTTAAGAATTTTTAATTTACCTTTTCAAACCATATCATTATTATTTGTTTTTATATATAAATCAGAAATAACCAATTTAAAATAGAAAATTTTAAAGAAAAAAAATTCCCCCCAATTTTTTGATCCCCAATATGATTCATCACCCCCAAACTCAATCCCAGCCTTCCCTTTGTGGCATGGTACCTTGCAGTACAATTTCAGAGAGATCCATACACTTGAACACAAGTTATTGTCTGGAAACTAGAATAAACTGCTTCGCTGAGCACAGCTGGATACGCCCGCAGAGGTCCAACCCTGAACAGTTGGGGCAAAAATGGACACAATATTCAAGCTTGATACAGGTCTGAATTTGGATTGTAATTAAATATTTGACATATTATAGGTTTCTGAATAAATGTAGTCAAAAATTAAAGATTTCTTGCTGTTGTGCAATACACTGTGCTGTTGCGCAATACTTAGTAAATCTGTTGTCAGACTATAAACAAATAAAGTTCAATTAATTCTCAATGTCATATTAGAAATTTATGAAAATGTAAAGGGAGCTTACATCAATAGATATAAACAATTCACCAAAGTTTCATGAGAATTGCTGACAGCATTTTTGAGTTATTGTCCGAAAACTGGAAAATCCCCCCTTTTTTAATGAATAAAACCCCATAGCTCAGAAATGTAAGATGTAAAATTTAAAAAATTCTAAAGGGAGCTTACATCAATAGATATAAACAATTCACCAAAGTTTCATAAGAACTGTTGAAAGCATTTTTGAGTTTTTGTCTGAAAACTGGAAAATCCCCCTTTTTTTATGAATAAAACCCTGTAACTGGGAAACGTAAAATCTAAAATTTATAAAAATCAAAAGGGAGCTCATGTCAATAGATATAAACAATTCACCACAATTTCATGCAAGTTGGTGAAAGCATTCTTGAGTTATTGTCCGAAAACTGGAAAATCCCCCTTTTTTTAATGAATAAAACCCCATAACTCGGAAACGTAAAATCTAAAATTTATAAAAAACGAAAGGGAGCTCACGTCAATAGATATAAACAATTCACCAAAGTTTTACGCAAATTGGTTAAAGAGTTTTTTGAGTAAATGTCCGACACGTTGACGACGGACGGACAGACGGACGGACGGACAGACGGAGGACGAACAGACAGACAGCGGTATACCATAATACGTCCCGTAAACGGGCGTATAAAAATGCTTATTTTTGGCCCCTTATTGGCCCCTTATTCCTAAACATTTTGGGCAATTACCCCCAAACTCAATTCCAGCTTTCCCTTTGTGATATAGAACCTTGTAGTACAATTTCAGAAAGATCCATACACTTACACACAAGTTATTGTCATGAAACTAGAAAAATGCTTGTTTTTTGTCCCTTTTTTGGCCCCTAATTCCTAGTATTTTGAAGCAATTACCCCCAAAATCAATCCCAGCATTCCCTGTGTGATATGGAACCTTGTGGTACAATGTCAGAGAGATCCATACACTAACACACAAGTTATGTCTGGAAGTTACAAAAATGCTTATTTTTGGCCCCTTTTTGGCCCCTAATTCCTTAACTGTTGGTACCATAACCCCCAAAATCAATCCCAACCTTCCTTTTGTGGTATTGAACCTTTTGGTAAAATTTCATAGAGATCCATTGAATGGATTCCATTCACTTAAACTAAAGTTAGAGTGCGAAAACCAATGTGTCTTCGGACGCCGACGATGACGACTACAACGACGACGCCAACGTCATACCAATATACGACCGCAAAAATTTTTTGCGGTCGTATAAAAATGAAAAAGACACAAATAGAAAATAGATCTTAACCTGATGATCAATTTTACCATATGTTCAATTTACTCTTAATGCTTTAGTTTCAGAGATATAAGCCAAAAACTGCATTTTTTATTTTTAGCCATAGTGGCTATGTTGGTTGGTAGGTGTGGTTGATGGATTCATTTTTTAAACTAGATGCCTTAACTTTAAATTTAACCAAGTAATTTCAGTGGAGAAGTATTTATGAAATTTTATGACAACAGAGGCTGATTGACGACAGAAGCCAAGTGATGAGAAAAGGTCACTTGACCCCAGGTCATGAGCTGAAATACAGGACAACATATTTCATCATAGCCCCCTAATATATTCTTTTAAGATCTTTACTTGCATACAATGTAATTTCAGTCTATTAAACATTAATTCAATATTTCATATTTTATATTTCAGGAATGTTTTGCCCAGTTTAAGGAAGGATTTATTGTTAGGGATAACAATTCAATCCCTAAGAACATTGCACTTCTGGATGTTCTAAACTTTCTAGATGACAAGGAGGCAGGCTGCCCAAAACTCAAATTAACTGGAAATATGTTAATGATTCCAACTGAAGCAGTGGTGAAAAGGGCCAGAATGTATCATGATTGCAGGGGAGGAGCCTGTAGAACTGTTCAACGATTACAGACAGAAAGAATTGAGCAGGAACATGTTGTAAAAGAAAAGTTGTATATAAAACATAATTCACAATATAAAGTATATATTTTGAATATTTATGCTCTTTAAGGTAGTTCAGGAGTTTAGACAGAATTTTCTTATACTTTGCCAAAATAAAGATTTTACTATGCTTTTTTTTTAAAAATGATATAAAGTATGGGTCACCGCACTTTTTTTCAAGGTACGAGTAGTTCAAAATTGCCAAAATCTGCTTAGATTGTTCATGAAAAAACACATTTTTGTGCATTAAAAGAAATCTATGAGACAGAATTTTGAAATAAAATATGAGAAGATAGGTATTATTATATATTTTAAGAAAATAAAAAGAAAAAATGGTTTCACCGAAATTGTTTTCTTGCTACAAGTAAAAAATTAAAATTTCCCTATATGTCCAGTATAAATTATGTACTAAAAGAGCTATCTCCCCTTAAATGGCTTATTTGAAAAATTAATTCTCAAAGCACAAATATTTGGTATTTGTTAAAACATTTTCGATAATGCAATTAATAACTAATTTTTTTTTATAGATATAAACAGTGTGACCAATAAATTACAAATCTGTCTCCAAATTTGCAGATTTGGGTAAAGAACTAGACCGATTATTTACTGTGATTTTACAATTCAAGATGGCGGTATACCCCTGAATTCCCTTAACATGTATATGCTATCAATTTTTGAAAGAATCAGGAAGTTGGTGAAGCAACACCATATGCATTTGCCACAATGAATATTTGAGCCATAATTGTTTGATAGAATGATTGTAAGGTGTGAATGTCTGTCTGGCAATTTTGTGTAAGTTGACCTGTACCTAATTTTCATGGTTCATTGGCATAAGTTAATTTTTTATGAGGTTTTCTCCAGATATACTTTTAGAAATAGGTGTATGGTGTATATGATGATTGTCTGAATTCATGTTTCTAAATGTTAATTTAACTTGCCAGAATATTCATCATGTTGAATGTGGGCAGTATATGGAAGAAGAAGGTAATGCTTGTGGTATACTCTCATTTTTTCATACTTCCAACATAAATTCAAAAATGAACACTTGAATGTTGAAAGATCTTCTTCAGATATTAAACTAATTGGATTGATTGACTTTGTAAAAATTAAATATTATGGGATCACATCCTGAGATTTTTTTTAACTATAATTATTTCTTACAAATTTTTAAAATTAAATATACATTAAACTGACTGTTATATCAAACTTTTA